GCGTGTGTGTGTGTGTGTGTGTGTGTGTGTGTGTGTCGGAGAATTTTCAACTCCTGTTACCTTATACCTACAGCGTTTGAACCCTGAGGGGGACGGGCGTGCATACATAAAGTGTACCGAAGTGCATGTGCAAAATTCGAACCTCCAGTTTTCTTCGAGCTAGGGCGTCCCAGAGCCATTCCTGAATCACTGACTACCACGTGGCCTGTCAGCAGGCTACGGTAGTGTTTCATTAGTTTATTGCCTGTTTTTGTATTTTCTATTTCTTTCAGGTGTCAGCTACATTAACGGTCCCTAGAGAATTTTGAGGCTTTATGGTCCGAGAATCGTTTAAGGGAAACTTCCAGCGTTCAAGGGGAACTTCCACGTAGCAATATAAAATATTCGCAGCACTTCCTGCTTCATGCGAAGATCTCCTCGACATAATTTGAAAGCACGATCTTTTCTTCATGATGTTTCTCAAAGCAACCAGTGCATTTTTTTTCGGAACTCTCTTTCGGTCTGCTTCTTCCCATATGTAGGGTGATTTTGGAGGGTTGTTCGCCAAGAACATTTCGAAGTAAGGATTCTACACTGTACATCGTATGTTCGTTAAAGCAAATCACCTGTATCACCTGTATCACCTGTTTTCCCGTTGATCATCGAAATCCTCGAGCGGGCGCCAGTAACGTCTCCATTCGTCCCTGTCACGAGCCAAAGTGGTCCAGTGAACCGTTCTCGCTTCAGGGACACGAGGATCAACATTCCTTTCGTTCAGAGCTTTCGTGAAGAAGTCTGACCATCTCGTCGGCGGCCTTCCTGGTGTTCGTTTGATGTCCCGAGGGATCCAGTCAGTAACCGCCCTGGTCCAACGGTCATCACTATATCGCATAACGTGTCCGGCCCACCTGATCTTCGATTTCTTGGCGTAATCAACGGCATCCCTGATCTTCGTTCGGTGACGGAGCTCGGAACTCCGGATTCCCTTCTGCACTTGCGTGTATAGGGAAATTCCGAGCATCGTCCTTTCCAAAGCGCGTTGAATAACGCTGACAGCATGCTCATCCTGCTTTCGTAGAGTCCAGGTCTCCGAGGCGTACGTCAAAGCAGGAAGGACAGCAGTGTCGAAAAGGCGAGCGCGGAGCCGGATGTTCTTTGTCTTCTTCACTACTCCCTCGATATTC